TATATATATATATATATATAAGATCGCAATTTGTCATCAATCCTATTACGTAAAAATAATTGTAGAGTACACGAAACAATTACACGAAAATTAATGGATGAGACACAACAAGACAATCCTTGATAAACTTGGCATTGTTCCAGAAATGGATAATACAAGGCGGAATGGTTTGTTGCCAAATCAGAGACACTTGCTTTTGTCACAAAAATACCTTCTGTGCTGTCCTGGAAACGCGAAATTAACGCGTAATTGCTAATGAAATTGTACATGCCCCAATTCTAGGTATATTGATACGAAACGCTAATGCACTGCGACGTCCCTCCCGCCACAAAGCCTCCCAGACTGAAATTAACAATGCGTGTGACCTACCACACGCATCGAGAAATCTCGTCAGTTTGTATCGGTTGTGGCTCATAAAGTTAAAATAGCCCGGTCAACGAAAAGACTGAAAAGAAGCGCGTTCTAACGTGGGAAATATTTTTTAATTATTTTTCGTGTAACATTAAATCTATACCGCGCAAATGTATCTCTACGAATACAAATACATGTTTTCCCTCGCGTGTAATCATATTCGTCTTATGTGCAGAGCGCTCGTTTGATAAATCCATCCGCCACCGCATTGTTGTTCCGGTCAGCTCTGCTCCACGTCTATTGTGGGGAACCTCGTTAACATTTCCATCATCCATCATCGGCATAGGGACGTTCTCGGTTTGTTCCCGCCGGCTATCGACGAAACACAAACGGTCCCGTTTGGCACCGGTTATCTCCCTCTCAGTCACATTAGGAAAATGAACCGCCGGTTTTTCTCTGTAAGCGCGGCGCGGCACAAATGCAAATATAATAGTGACGTTAAAACCGCGAAATGAAAACAAAAGCCGAATTATGGAAAAAAGCAGGGAATGGAAGTAACTCGTTACTTGTAACGAAGTTACAGTTACAAGTTATTTTTTTGGTAACTTTACTGGTAACTGCGTTACTTTCTTTTTTTGGTAACTGTAACGGTAACGAGTCACATTTTTTGGGTAACGGTAACGAAATTTACAGTTACTTTTGTCGTTACTTTGCACACGATTGAACACGGTTCGATTGGATACATGCTATTTAGCGCTTATCAATATGACTTGAAAGCCCTTAGACATTCGGCCGTTATGATTCAGTAATTATTTTACACTTCTATCTTCTATGTAATACATAGGACATACAAATATTTCAGTTTGCTGCATATTTTACAGGTTTTAGAATTACAAAATTGTGTTTAAAAAAAATTAAAAAATAAATTAAATAATAGTAAAATGAGAAGGGCTATGAACCCAAAAGCGAAACAGTTTAAAAGACGATGACAATAAGTGTCGAAACGTCGTTTGTTTTTATCTTTGTATTGTTCTAATATATATTTATACATTTAATTACATTGTCATCGTCGTTCTTATCGGAAATAAACTGTTTCATTTTTGGCTCGTAACCCTTCTCATTTTACTTTTATTTAATTTATTATTTGAGCCATTCTACATGTTTTTTTTTTTTTTTTTAACTGTATATTTGTCAGTATTACATATAAAAAAAAATGCAAAAGTACATTTTTAAATTGATTTTAAAAAAGTAACGGAAAAGTAACGAAAAGTTATTTTTCAAGTAACGGTAACTGTAACGAGTTACTTTTAAAAAGCGATAACTGTAACTGTAACTAGTTACATTTTTTACTCGGTAACGAGTAACTGTAACTAGTTATTTTTAAAAAGTAACTTTCCATTCCCTGGAAAAAAGTGATTAAAAATTATTAGGAAAAAAGCGAATCGACAGCTTGTAGCGAAAACGGCGATTCTACGATATAAATTCTATTTTGCGAAATAGTATAAAACTTTTTATTCTGCTGGACGGAGAAGGAATAAGCGCGACCCTTTTGTTGACCGTCCGGCTTTCTCAATGCGCAGGTGTGCGTGTGTGTGTGTGGATATACGTGTTCAAATTAGGCGATCCGACACGCGCTGGTGGAATGAGGGTTTCAAGTATGGTGAAGTCTCATTTCGGTGTATAAATTTCATCGAGTTTTATGGTCGTCGGTTTAACGCGCGCGCGCGCGCCGCCGTGAAATATCGTTTGCGTAAGCACAGTTTTACGCGCCGCTTCACTCGTCCAGTTACACTGCATTACTGCAGCTATATATAACGCCGTTGCAACAATAATTTTAATCCGCTACCGATGACGGTAAGA